GATTCTTAGATTTTCATAGCATTGAGCCATGATGGCAGTTATCTGACTTTGCATCAAACCACATTATTTCTGCAGTGTGGATCCAGCTTATGTTTAAGGAGGCTTTCACTATTTCAGCTTACCTCGTCCATTTTATAATGATTTGTATTAGGCATTAAACACTGAGAATTCATTAATTTTCTTCAATCTCTTCTGGCAATAGGAATAGAATGTTCTTTCTCTGTTTCATCTCCCCCCTAATGTTTATTCCATTCTAGCACTGAAGAAAGTATTTGCTGAAGACAAAGAAATACAGAAATTGGCTGAAAAGTTTATTCTCCTCAATCTTGTGGTAAGTTTTCAAATGTCACTTGATCAAATGCTGCATTGTGTAAAGTTATGAAGTAATTGTTCTTTGGCTGCATTTCATACCTTTGGCCTGTTTAATGCTACCTAGAGCTATTTACCTACAGTCAGCATGGTGTAGTGGTTTGAGTAGTGAACTACAACTCTGGAGATTTGGGTTCAATTGCCCACTTGACCATGGAAACTCAGTGAGTGACCTTGGGCAGGTCGCACATTCTCAGCCTCAGAAAACTCTGTGATAAGGTTGCCATAAATCTGAAACAACTTGAAGGCACAGAACAATAACATTGCTGTCTTACACAGGACATTGTTCCAAAAGAAAGATTATTCCAATGATATCTTTGTGTGAAGATTGCAAATGTATACATGGTTATTTTATAAGAACTTAAGTGTTTAGTTTGCCATAAGGTAGGAAACTAATACGCCAAACAACTTCTCAGGATATTTGCTCACAGCAATATAAATGCTTCTGTATTGTTCGCTTGCTAATATATGTATTTGTCTTACATAAAAATAATCTCTGAGTGAATTCTAGTTTATACACACAAAACTTCTCTAAACAGTCACACTACAGCAAACATGTTCACTGCAACTTTATTAAAATTGAATACTGCTGTGTGTGTAAATTCATAGTTTGTTTTTTATTATTTTTTATTATTTTTACTTACTATGTTTTATTATTTTTACTATGTTGAAGTAATCAACAGCATTTAATACCTATTTTTTTTCTCAATGTAAATTAAATGGTACACCTCACAGGAATTCAGATATTCATTTCTTTTCATTCTTTAATTCTAGTATGAAACCACAGACAAACATCTCTCACCAGATGGTCAGTATGTCCCCAGAATTCTGTTTGTTGGTGAGTAGATTGAGTCCAAAACCTGCTTGAAAAACTGGTTCCTGGCTATAATGAACTATAGCAAATAATATGACTTACATTTACTATGGCACAGGTTTTGTTCATATCGTTCAGACTTGAAATGGTGTGTGTGTGTGTGTGTGTGTGTTCATGTGAATTATTAATAAGTGAGGAGGTTTTACAGTATCACTTACTGTAAGGTGATACTCCCTCAAAGTACAGTCAAGTTGGCAATAATTATGAGGCTGTTCTTATCCAGTGAAAGCTGATAATCTTGCAAGGAACATTAAAAAAAGGCATTCATAAAAATATGTGTTACGGCCATTAGGAAGTATTACAATAATTATCACAGTGGAGGAGATATGATGTGCATCGTCTCCTTATGACTTAAGGTACATTAGCAACAGTAACATTAGTGAATGCTTTGGACTAGTGGCTATGCTAGCTGGGAGATTCGGGAGATTTTGCACTACAAAAACAAAAAAGTTCACAACCATTTCCAACATATGAATAACTAACTAATTACATCCAATAGTTTCTCAAGTAATGTTCCTACCAGAACTCCCTGTTTGCTAAATTCCATGGTCTGACCTGAGGACACATTTGGACCTGAATCCTGTTATAATCCCAACTAAACTACAGGATAAGCCCAGTTCCCTCAAAGCTCCCCTGTCTCTTAGGAGGAACTTCCTTACAGTAAGGACGGTTCGACAGTGGAACACACTCCCTCGGAGAGTAGTGGAGTCTCCTTCCTTGGAGGTCTTTAAGCAGAGGCTGGATGGCCATCTGTCAGGGATGCTTTGATTGGGAGTTCCTGCATGGCAGGGGGTTGGACTGGATGGCCCTTGTGGTCTCTTCCAACTCTATGATTCTATGATTCTATGATTCTTCTGGGTATTTCCCCAACATGTTCATTTAGCAGCCAATGGGAAGTAGAGGGAAAAACAACAACATCCAGTCATGTCCTTATATCCAAACAGACAATGAGGAAATTATCCTCTGAGGCTTTCAGAGGATTGTAGGAGTTCCTAGAACAGTGATGGCAAACCTTTTAGAGATCGAGTTCCCAAACGGCAACCCAAAATCCACTTATTTATCACAAAGTACCACATCCTTCTGGCTTTCTAGTAATGAACTCTGGTGAACTCTGTGCTGAGGCAACAGCACGCCTGGCCACAGAGAGAGCTCTGAGTGCCACATCTGGCACATGTGCCATAGGTTCAGCACCACTGTCCTAGAAGATGACTTTCATACCTCTAGCAATAGCCAGATGCTCCTCTATCACACCCTGCTCTCCACAAGCCACTAAATGGCCATGTAGCAAGAGACAGGTAAGTCTTCCAAGAGAGAAGAGGGGAGACAGTGCATACTTCTGCCTGGAGAGAAGCAAAACAAAGCAGCTTCATTTATATACCACTTCATATCGCGCTATGGGATGTCTAAGTGGTTTACAACTGTAAGCTCATTGCCCCCCAACAGTTGGGTACTCATTTTAGCGACCTCGGAAGGATGCAGGCCTGAGTCTAGCCTGAGCCCTGGCTAGTATTGAACTCGCAACCTTGTGGTCTATGAGTGAGTGGCTGCAGTACAGGCATTTAACCACTGCGCCACCAGGGCTCCTTTATGAGAACTTTATGCTCTGTCTTCCAATGCATGATCTTGGCCCATAGGGAGATACTCTCATCCCCAACTCACATAGAGGAGCATCTTCCTTTCAGAATGTCACCTCAGTATCTCAAGAGCACTAGGCAGGGCTGGACCAAGACATTTTGTTGCCTAAGGCTAAATAGTATATGG